CAAAGCAAGTATATTGAGGAAGCTGTTTCAGGTCGAACACCATCCTACAGAGATCGACGTATGGGTTAATTCCTAGGTATCTACAGGCTATAAAGAAATAGGTAAGCATCCTCCACCCATTTGGCACGAGCTGTCCAGGGCTCATATTATGCTCGACCAATAAGGCCACAAAAAAGGGATGCAGAGGCCATCGAAATCCCCCCTTAAGTGAGTCCCTAAAGATCACGAACTCTCCATCCCGAGCAAAGGCCATCCTATCATCTACCCCTGGCGTCCTAACGTCGCATTTGGGCATGAGCCCATGCTCCCTAGCCGTCGATATCGCTAGATGTTCTTTAAATTTACAGGGGACCTCGGGATACCTAAAAGGGGTCGGGATACTTTGTGCCCGAGGTTGGGCATTAATTGGGACAGCCATAGGTATGATTGAGCCTCCTACGTCCTCGGGAGTACTCCTCGAGGATGATGAGGACGAAGTGTCGCTACTGCTACTACTAGACATCCTGACCTAGGTAAAAAATACCTAAAGAATAACTTAAAAACTCGAGGTCTTACCTTAAAGTCGACGCCTAAAAACTCAAAGTCCGATCCCGACGATTAGCGAGAGAAATTTACTGAGAGTAAAAAGTGAAAAATGAAATGAGGGGAGGGTATTTATAGGCAACAGGAGCAGGAAGCCCAAAGGTCACTACCCCGACCGTTAGATCTGGACACGTGTCCTACATCTAACCCTACCAGTTTTTACCGCCTTTTCCATTTCTAGGGCTGACGTCAGTACACGTCAGCCTTCTGATCAAGCACAGGTGTTCAGAAATCCCCGAGCTAAAACTCGAGCTTTTATTTCTAGTCTCTTTGCATCATATCCTCGAGCATATTTTTGAGCATATATGCACGGGGGCCTATGATGGTGACATTTTTCCAATATCCAGATCAGTTTATCCCGAGGACTAGTTTTGATAAAGTTGTAAATTCATATGCGGTGTCCTCGAGCATGTTCATCCTCGAGACACTGTGCCCGACCACAACTCCATGCTACTTCGCATATTGCAACCATATGTCCTCGGGCATAGTCCTCGAGAATGTGCTCTCCCTCGCTACTGACGATTGTTAACCCTTTAGAATTCCTACGCAATTAGGAATCTTAACTCCCAGAAGAATCCTATCTCACGTATAATTCTGGAATTCAACCAACTCCTTAACCATTCAGGATTCCAACAGATGATGACATCCAGCTAGTTGAGTCCAATTAGGAGAATGTCACTTACCACTATAAATACAGAACCTTGAACCATTATTCAGGTACGTTTTCTCATTGTTCTTCAGCACATAGCCTCACGCATATATTTCCCCTTTCCGACTTAAGCATCGGAGGGGCGACGAGAACACACTTCGTTGCCTTTGTTTCAGGTATCGGAAGATCACGTTCGTGCTCCTTATCAGTCACCAAGCTCGGGAAATCTGCAGGTACGATTTTTGGTAGTATCAATATTTAAATCAAAAAATTTCTCTACTTCTAATCATACATTTTCCTAAAAATCACTATTTAAAACATTATATTTCCCAAATAAAAACTATCAAGTAGGGGCTCAAAGATTAAGAGCGTCTCATATTTTTAAGGCCATCAAATTTATTTTTTATTCACATATTGTGTAATAACTATATGTTATTATTTACTAACTATCCATACATTTCATAGAACTCGTATCTTATAAACAATTAGACATTGTTTGGTGTAGATTAAAATCAATTTTGTAGTAAATGTTAATGAAAGTTAATGAAACGTGTGGTTAAAAATTTATGAGCCCGTTAAATATATAATTAAAATTAATCACTCACTTTCACTTGAGATTAGAATCAAGTTTCATCTATCCCAAACAATGGGTTCGATCACTGCCAACCAGCACTAAGACTCTTCCCCTTTTGCTATTGCCAACATTTAGCCCCTATTGTTTCTCATTATCTACTCATTAAAATGAAAAATATGACCGTTATCCATCATATCAAATCACCATACTTGAAAATCTATCTCTTGTGTGGAATCCGTAACGACTATATTTTTTATTCTCAGTCTTATATTAATGTGGCTCAAACGTGACTTTAATCAGTTCACATTCATTCGTTGTACAAAAAATGTATTTAGGGTCCGTTAGCAACGTTCTTTAAAAGTCAAAAATTACTTTTAATATTAATAAACAAATTTGAATCTATTTAGATTTTTTTTTATAAAGTAACTATAAAAAGCCTTTAGGATGTGTTTTATTGTATTTACTTTCCATGGAAAATATCGATTTTTCAACCAAATTCCCACTTTGGAGTGTTTGATTACTATTTTTTTCACAGAAAATATTTTTCAATTTTTGAAAATATACATAATTTTCCTTGTTTAAAAAAAATAAAATTGGAGGGAGTAGATTTTTGTTTTCTTTGAAGCAAGGAAAACGTTAAAGAAAATTCACGCGATAAAATATTCTGCAAGTAAATTCAAAAAATTTCCCTACTCTTTAAGTATACATCTATAATATATAAAATATCACATTAAGCGATAATCATTTTTTGGATTATTTTAATCCTACTAAAATTCAATTATTTCAATAATACCTTGTTTTTCGTCTTACAATATGTAACAGATACTATGAAATTTTTTTGATGAATGAATTTCGTATTATTAATTCTCAATTAATTAACATTCAAATTAATCAAGACTCAACCAATATTATTTAACGAATCTTGATTTACATAAATCTAGAGTTTTTATTTCTATTCATTTATTTATGAAATTTAATAAGTGTTTAAATTCATATATTAACAATTGATCCTTATGTACCAAATGTAGTATAAAAAGAATTATAATTTGTAGTATTTCAGCATTAAAAAAAAAATTGAATTATAGAAGTTGAGTTTTGAGAGTGCAAATTTTTTCTCGTAAATTTTATTTTCTTTAGTTCGTTTGAGGCTCATCAATTCCTCTTAACAAATTAATATTAGATATTACTTTTACAGCACTATAAAATATTTCCAAGATAACGTGCAATTTATGCTCAACACAAAAAACACTGTTGAAAACTCTAACTAGTTACACATTGATCATTAATGGCGACACTTCAATGTTAGTATCTTTTATAGAGTGACCTTGTTTGAGTTTCATTTTGGAATAGTGGATTTTTTGGAGAATATGTGATTAAAAACGAATGAAAAGTTATGTGTAAAATTATTTTATGGAAGAATGTGTGGTTAAAAATAAATTTAGAAAAATGAAGGGGTTGTTCTCTTTGTCGTTTTTCTGTTTTCGATTTTTCAAAGCAGTGAAAATGCATTCTCCTTCCCATTTTCGAAAAAAAAATTTGGAAAAAAAATTGTACACAAAACTCAAAACGTCTAAAACGACGTTTTGTGTTTTCTAGCAAAACCCCTGCATTTTTACAAAACACGGGAAACACTCTCATTTTTACAAATTTTCTGTTTTAGCTGCGTCTCTTCCTCCTCCCACTCCCTTTAACCTTTCCCGATTGCGTCTCTCTCTCTTCCAACTACCTTTCTCCATTCTTCAAACCAAAGTCTTGACTCTCTACGTCGTGGGTCAGCATCTTGACTCTCTATGCCGTGCGTGAGTAGTGAGTACGTCTGTCGTCTGCAGTCTACCATGCTTGGTGCATCTATGGTGCTGTCTGTGGTCTGCTGTCTTTGAAGTGAACCCTCTGCCGTTCGCCGTCTCTCTAATTTCCAATCACTGCCTTCTTCTTGAAGGTATGTAACATTGTCATTTGATTTCAGTTATTTTCTTTCAGTGTCAATACTTTATTCCAATTCCATAAATTCTGATTTAGGGATTCCTCATTCCCATAATATTTTTTTGATTTAGGGTTTTTTTATTTAGGGATTTAGAGCTTTCTGACTTACATAAATTGATTTAGGGAAGATTGAAACTTTTTGATTTATATATAAACTAATTTAGGTGTACCAATATGACTCTTGTTAATCATTTGCTGTAAGATATTCATATGGAATTTTAGAATGATTTAATTGAATAATAGCTTCAAACAAAACATAACATGTCAAACCAATAGAAACCTGGTTCAAAAGAATCCGTCTCCAAGGGGGACAAAACGGAAAGATTAGCAAAAAATGATTAATTTTCAAAAACAAGTTTTTGCGAGAAACAGGAATGGCAAAAATAGAGACCACTTTCCATGTACAATTTGTATCACTAATAGGATAGGTGTCTTGAAATAATATCCAGAATATTCTTTGTACAATTTTCAATCGGGGCTGTTACGTACTAGTTTCTAGTAGATTGTTAAGTCTATATATAAAAGCATGTATCGGACAGCTTTTATCATTCATTCAAGTTGGCTTTGCTCATAAATAGATGAATACTAATTTGTACACACTCATTTTAACAAAACATAATAAAACATTATGTTTACCCAATCCCACAAAAGGGCTTTAAAATGGCATTATCTTAGCAAGGTAACATGTATTTGATAAGTTAAAACATGTTAGTACTTCAAGTCGGGATAATCCCCTGAAATCCCAAGGGTTCAATATATTTTTTCTAATTAGAAAGGAAAAAAGTGAAATAATAAATCTCCTTCCAAGGGTCCATAATAACAAATATAGAGTTAACATCATAGATGGGCAATGCTCATTTAAGAGTCAAACTGAAAACTAATGATATCCTATTTTGTGCATGAAATTGTGAAAAGATATCATCTGCATGACTATGTTGGATGGGGAAGACTACGTGGGAAGGAATAATTGTTCAACTATAGACACTCCTTGTGTCGTAACATTATTGAACGTTGCATTGGAGTTTTAAAGGCAATATTTTTTATTTTGAAATTGATTACCAATTATCAATTTAATAGGCAAAGACAAATTCCTACTGCATATTGCGTAATAAACATATTTATTCGTCATGAGCACATTTAGATAAGTTGTTCGGAGAGTATTCAAAGGAAAATACGGTGTTTCAAGACATACCAGAATCAAGTCAAGATCAAGAAGTCATACATTTTTATGTAAGTCAAACGGTACAAATGGGACAAGTCAGGGATCAAATTGCTACACAAATGTGAAATGACTACTCAAGATATCGTATATGATTTCGTGGATGTATTTTATATTTTGTTTTAGTGTCCACTTGTTTTTTCATGACACATAAACTTCTAATAGTATCTATTGAACTGTGTTGTCAAATTTAATTTAGGTTGTGTTTTTTATATCCGTAAAAAAATATTTCAAGATTTATAAACTTTAAAATTTATATGTTATTTAATACTATATTAACATCAAACTATTAAAATTTATTGAATAATCATATTTCTTGAATAAAATATTCTCAAATTTTCAAAATAAACGCATTTTTCAATTTTATGTTTTCAAAAACAGTTTTTCAGAATGATAAATATAATATATTTTCAACAATTTCAAAACAAGCACTTAAAACACAAAACTCAAAATGAATTCAAAACTACAAAACTGGAACACGAAGAGAACGACCCCTAAGTTGTTAAAAAAATGGGGCCCAATGTAGAATGAATTTTGAATGACTATTATCATAATAACTTCAATTGAAAGTAATTTTTCAAGACTTCAGTTGGCATAATTAATTTTACCCATTTTAATCATATCATGTCAAAATTTTAATTTAACAATTAAAAAAATAAGTAGTGAAAGTGTTTCTTGATCTCGATCTCATCTCACCAATCATTTAAATTTTACGAAATTCCATTGGAATTTCATGGGCCTTTTGGGAATTATATTCAGATCTCGATTTTATTAAGGATTTTTATATTATCGCCGCAAAATTTATTTAGTGCACAACAAATTTTAATTTTTTCTTATTTACTTACAAAGCCATAAGTAAAATTATATAAGTAGGTTAATATACTTTTAGTTATTCTCCCAGACCACAGGTATAAAACCTAGCTTATTTTTCTTCTTCTTTTATTGTATTGCAAAACTTTATGCAATCTTGGAGGCTGTAGCAGATAAAGTGGAGATGCACAAGAATATTGGAGAGCAAAAAAAACAAATAGAACAGCCTGCTTTTGACATCCATCAATGCACCCCCTCTTGCAGCGGCTACGATGGCAAGAATTGCGGGTACAAGTGTAATAGGTAGTGGCTCCAGTGACTATGTTAAAGCTTTTGTCAATGATCGTGTATCTTTCAGCAAGTGGGATGCTGTCCATAATGAACAAGATTCAGCCATCTCACCATGCTGAGGAATAAAGGAATGCAACTAGGTTATTCAAGCAACATCATGACCGGATCCAAACATTTTATAGCGTTTGGTAATCCTACAAGTAATGATGTGAAGGAAATGATGGATAAAGCGTTGGCTCTTAAGCAGGCCTACCCTATTCTTCTTCTCGGCCAATGCTCGAGAAATTCCCAACGAACATAGAGCTAAGGGCGGACGTAGAGAATTTGAGTTATGGGGTACAATCAAATTTTGTACAAAATGAAATACTTTGTTCTTGATTTTTGAATGATTTATATTTGATCCAAAAAAATGTGGATTTGCATTTAAAAAATATTTCTTCATTAATATTTTGCTCATTATTTTCATTTATTTGATTTTGAACAGTCATTTTATTAATATTTTGCTCATTACAAGAAAATGCATGATACAAACAATCAATTCAAATAATCGAAAGAAAAACCATATAACCAATATTCAATACTAATAATCAGTCAAATAAATACAATTCGTTAAGTATAAGTTAAATTTTATATAATCAATTTAGACGCGTGCTATATACACAAATATGATGAGAGAAAATGCAAATTTAAGTTCTAATTAGTTGAAAATTTAATTGAAAAGTGAAAATTTGTAGTAGATGTGATAATTGTAGAGAAATTATAAACAAATTTTAAAAAGTTAGAAGGGTTAAAATTTTGGTAAAAAAGTGACGGAGAGAATAAGATAAAACAATAAAAAATAGAGAAAATTCAAATTTATTGTGATTTTTTTTCCTATAGGGTGAGGATTAGAGTGCGATTTTTAGTAAATTTTGATAAAAATTTTAAAGTTAAGAAATCTATGAAATATGTTATTAAAATTAATTATTAACTTTGATTTAGATTAAAATTTAGATTTCAATCGATAAAAAAAAAAAATTTAAAAAAAAAAAAAAAAAAAAAAGAAGGTTGGGGGGTCAAGTGACCCCCTTGGGTCCACCCATGCATAGAGCCTGCAGTCCGGTGGCCGTAGCAGTTCCAGAGACAAGTAAAAGGGCACAATCGCAAGAAATATTGGAAAAGAAAACGAAAAAGAAGTTTAACAGTGGCGTATTTATTAAAAAGATGTTTTCTCCTTTTTTTTATTATTTTTAATTTAATATATCAGGTATGTGATCGCAAATTCATTGTGATTATTTATTAAAACTACGTTTTGATTGTGGTGTGGTCCGTGTGGATATAAAAAGTGGTAATATAATTACCATTTTATTAATTGCATCTCATTCAATTGTGCTAAAGATCTTTAGTTTTTGCATTCAAGATTTATATTTATAATTCTTTTTGATGTGTTAAACTCTCATTTTTTCATTAATTGACACATCTATTCATAACAATTTCTGTCCAAAATGTTCGTAAGATAGTGAAATGATTTATTTTTCGATTTATATAAAAAAAAAAAAAATGCAAAAGTGCAACATAGTATTTTTTTTTCCCTTACATCAAGGGACCCGAGGCTGCTCCAAGTGGTGCTTGGGATAATGTTTGGGGAGCCTCGTGAGAATCGGTTGCATATATGTATCGAACGTTACAAATACAAATGGATGAGGATGCTATGAGCGTATAGATGGTCCCTCGGAATAGAAGTGTTATTTGTTGAAATAATAGACACGTCTAGTAAAAAAGTGTGTTAAACATGATCACTCAGTAAAACTTATATTTTGTTTTAAAATTAGTATTTCCCATTTAGATCTATTAGTGATTTTATTTTATATATAAAAAAAGGACACAATACTTTATATATTGCATTGAAGATTAATATTTGACTTGAATGTCTGTCTATTAAATTGCACGTCATCTAGTTAACAATTAAGAGAATGCATTATTAATGGTCTTATTTCCAAAATTCAGTACCACTAATTGTTCATTTGATGGAATTTTCATTTTTGTTTCTACTTCTTGTGAAAGAATTTCACTCGGAAGTGTCTTAATTTGAATTTGAAAATTAATTTCAAAAAAACTTTCCTTTTTTCAAAAGATTTGTTTAGAGGAAATCATATTGGGTTAACTTTCTGTACGCTTTTATAAAATTAATTTTTCAAAAGTTTCTTTTGACTTTTCAAAAATTATGTCAAATGTGTGATAAATTTCTAAAGGGAAAAATTCATAATTAAGATATATTGTTTACACCAATTCAATTTACAGGTTCTAAGTTTAAAAGTGCAAAAATCAGGTAATTATTTATTAATTAAAAATATTTTATTAATTAAATGTAATAAAATCACAGTTATAGAACTAATAGTCACATATACAAAATTTTAGGTCACAATTCATTTATTTATCACATATCATTAAATTAATTAGTCATAGATTATTTTGAGATCACAAATTAAAATTTTTATAAATCACGAATTATTTCGAGATCACCAATAAAATTTTTTATAGGTCACAGATCTAAAAATTTATAGATCACAATTTATTTCAGTAGTCACAAATCTACAAATTAACAGGTCACATATTTTCAAATTTATTGATGACAATTAAATATTTGATCGCGGATGGTCACATAAGTCAAATAGTGGTCACAGACTACCGCCACTAACACTATTGTACTGTTACTGTCATCACAGCCACTTGCGACCATCCTCATCCTGTTACCGTCGTCAAGATCACATGGTCACAGATAACTAAATGGTTGATCACATTCGTCAAATAGTGGTTACAGACCACCACAACCATTATTGCACCGTCATTGACATCACGGCCACTTGCAACCACCCTCCCTCCGTTATCGATGCCAACATCAACAAAAATTAAGGCAACCACAACCTATCATCGGCCCCACCATCCAGATCTGAACACACCATGTCATACCGCCACAGCCACCACCAACAATACTCCAACCCCCAAACTCACCAACATAACAAACGTCCCCATCGTCGACACGACTATCGCCAGTCATCATCACAGCCACCACGACCACGACCACAACCACCATCAAACACACCCAACAATACACCAAGTCCAAACCTCACCAACACTATCCACATAAAAACCTCCAGATTGTTGCTCAGAGCATAATCTGAGCATCGAACAGCAGTGCAACGGCGATGTTAACAGATCGATGTTCACGACGACGATATCAACAGACCAATGTTCACACAATAGTGATCGAGAAGCCATTGCTCGTGTGAATTAGAGAAAGAAGTAACAAGATCAACAGCGACACTACTCACTATGTCACCACTGCACATTACGGCAGCAACGTTGCCGTTGGAATGGGCTTCACCCCGCGACGCTGCTGAGATCTCTCAGCGCTCGAAGGCACCACGCCTGTCACCAACACTTGAAGTCGATCAATGTGGCGTATCTCCGACGACGTCTTCTCTTCTTGACGATAATTCTTCTCCGCACATCTTCATCTCGACGCACAACAGAAAGGAACTTCCACCACTGCTATGGCATCGGCGCACAGCGCCGCCCAAAATTGGGGTCGGAGATCTGAAGCGCCTCTCATATTAGGGCCGACGCCACCACTATAGATAGAGAGAGAGAAATGAGAGTTTATGAAGAACTGGGCCATTACTATCGTGTGTGTGTGTGTGTGTTTAAAGAGAGAGAGAAGAGAGTTAGGGTTTGGTATGGGGGGCGGGGGAATATTTAATATTTAATAATTAAATGAAAACTTGAAATTTGAACAAAATAACTTCTGGCCAGACTTTTGCATCGTGATTTTCAAATGTCGGGAATCCTCTAATTTCCACATTTCTAAATGATAAAGCGGGCAAAGGTCCGCTTAAGATTTTAAGGCCTCTATGTGGCCCAAACATTTGGCTCCTTTATAGGAAAACACTCACATCCGTTGATGCAAAACAACTCCAAGCCCTAAAATGAATCCTAGCCGTTACTTTACCCCTTTAGTCCATTAGGGTTTTGATTTACTTCTGCTATTTGAGCCTCTTCTGCGGCTATCCTCATTCTCCTTCCGCTCCACAACCCCCACCCCAACCATCCCCGAGGAAAAGCTTCGAGCAGTGAAAAATGGTAAGATTCGAGATGTAATGAAATGCAACTGGTTATGTGCATAGTTCTGTTCTTATACTTTTTGTTCTCCTAGTAATAAAACGATAGGAGATTTTGATCCCGAGCATGTTTACTGTTGGTTTAATCGATTTTGCATTTTCAAGAGCAAAAGTGATTTCGCGGCATTCTGGTGACGCGAAGAATATCTCATATTCCTGCTGTTCCATGCTAATATCGTTGATTTTCTATCTTATACAAAGCTTTTGTATGTTCGAACGATTTTATATTGTGGACGTGTATATGCCTAATTCTTAACTGTTTTGGTTTTATATGGTCTTTTTTATTTATTTATTATTATTATTATTTGCAATAGTTGATTTGTGCATAAATAATTGATTGCATACTGTGAATAAAAATTTTGATAAACTTTTCGTTGATGTTCAATGATTTGGGAATTTTCGATGTGATTGTTTACATGACTCGTAAACAATTATAAGCAACACGCCCTGGTTACTGGAATGTTGGCATCTATGATCTGCTTTGTATTTTTTATCTGCATGTTATAAGTAGATAGTACAGTATCTTTATATTTTCTCATAGTTTTACATAATTCATAGGCCTTCGTCAAAGCCCAAAAGTCAAGAGCTTACTTCAAGCGGTTCCAAGTCAAGTATAAGAGAAGGAGAGGTATGATATCCTTACCTCTGCTTTCGTGTTATTAGATGTTAAGTTCATTCATTGTCTTGTTAAATTATGCAGAGGGAAAGACTGACTACAGGGCTAGAATTCGCATGATCAACCAAGACAAAAACAAGTACAACACTCCAAAATATCGTTTTGTTGTGCGATTTGTATCCTGATACAATGTTATCTTCTTTTTTCTGCAAAGGGATATACTATTCTGATTACACTCCTACATGCATGTCTAAAGCTATTTTGGGTTCCACTTGACAATGGATGCACAGGATTTTGCCAACAAAGTCAAGATTGTGTTTTTGGCATTTTATATTTATTATCTTTATTTTCATACATGCACATCACTGTGGGCTTATTGACTTTGTGGATTTGAATTTACCTGGTGGTGGATTTTGAATTTAGAATCTTGATGGAAGTTGATATTTTCACCACCTAGGGGACTTTCATCACATTGCTTGTAGTAATAGTGTTATTGATGTGGTCATGTATAAAAGAATGTTCATTTATGTTCCATATGAAATGGCAAATTACCTTGATATGATTCTAGAGTAACCAAGACATTGTTGCACAAATTGTATCTGCTAGCATTGCTGGTGATATGGTTCTCGCAGCAGCTTATGCACATGAGCTGCCTCATTATGGCGTTGAAGTTGGGCTCACAAATTATGCTGCTGGTATGTTTGTTTACCTAGACCACTTTTGTCAGTTTTTTCCGAATAACATATTTAAATTTTCTCACAATTGTTATTGGAAACTAGCTTACTGCACCGGGCTTCTGTTGGCTCGCCGAGTTCTCAAAACCCTTGAAATGGATGAAGAGTATGAAGGAAATGTTGAGGTAACTATTTCATTATCTGTGATTGCTTGCTGGGATATGTTCTTTTATGCTTGTCAGTTATGTAGATCCTCACCTGGAGTTCCATGTAGGCTACTGGAGAAGATTTCTCTGTTGAACCTGCTGAAAGCCGGAGGCCTTTCCGTGCACTCTTGGATGTTGGCCTTGTACGAACTACAACTGGCAACCGCGTTTTTGGTGCCCTCAAGGTAGCAATCCAGCTCTTTATGTATGGACATTTGGAGTTCTAAAAGTTAAAAATAGCACTCTGAATTGAATTGACCACTTTGGTTCTAGGCCTAGAAATTCACAATATTTCATCTACTTTCTTTCACTGAGATTCCTGTCTCTTTAAGGTAGCAATTTTAAGACTTAACTCCTTATTTATTATTAACTAGTATTGTGTCATTGTGTTATAACTAATTAAAATATATCTGCTTGTTTCATATGTACCAGTTGGACATAAGCGTGCTTGCTATTATAGACTTGGATTCTCTTGGAATTGGATAATATGATTATTGATCCTCAGAAGTTGTTTTGTATGTTGATTTATAGGGAGCATTGGATGGTGGTCTCGATATCCCACATAGTGACAAAAGATTTGCTGGATACAACAAGGAGAGCAAGCAACTTGATCCCGAGGTTCATCGCAAGTATATCTATGGAGGTCATGTTGCTGCATACATGAGGGTGAGTCCTTGTTTTTAAATATTCTCAGCATTTTGTATCTATAAAATTTAAATTTTGTACATTTAATACAAGCTTGATGTGTCTTTGTTAACACTCCAACAGTATGTAAAGTTCCATTTAGTGTTTTCTTCTAGGTCCTCTTTATATGAAGCAAAGCTAATTTGTTCCTCTCTTAATATGCAGACTTTGGAGGAAGATGAGCCCGAGAAATACCAGTCTCACTTTAGCGAGTACATTATGAGGGGTGTTGATGCAGATGGGCTAGAGGAGATGTACAAGAAGGTCCATGCAGCCATTCGTGCTGATCCCACCCCAAAGAAATCTGAAAAGCAGCCACCAAAGGAGCATAAGAGGTAAGGCCTTTTCTGTGGGGCATGTTCTATTATTCTGTTATCAAATATGGGCCACTGGCTTTGCCAAGCAGAGAGGTGTTCTTGAGCCAATTTTTCGGTGCCATAATATGGTTATGTTATTTAATTGATCATATCCTCGATTACTAACTGCAGTTTGTTTTTGGTCTACTTTTGCAGATACAACCTCAAAAAACTGACTTACGAGGAAAGAAAAGCTAAGTTGATAGAGAGGTTAAATGCTTTGAATGCAGCTGCTGGGGATGACGAGGAGGAAGATGATGACTGAGCAACATAATCAAGCAAGCAAATCCTAGCATTGCCTTTTGTTTTCTAATGGAAATTTCAACTTTAAATGTCAGAAAAATGAGAAACTTGTATTCGTTTAAATGTTTTATCGAGTCGAACTTCTTATCATTGTTTGTAGCTTTACTTTTATAAAGAACTGTCATCTCGTCTGATGAATCTGATGTTGAAGGCACTATCGTGTTTGGACAAGAATGGTCCTACTTTTGTTATTTTGCTAAATTTTTGTAGGGATTTGGACTCTTAGGACACTAGGCAGAATCAGCACTGCTTTTTATCTTAGTTGAATTTGTTTCTTTGAATCAGCACTGCATTTTATCTTTGTTGAATCTGTTTCTTTTATTTATTTATGGATGATGCTTACAGCTTGTAATAACATATTTTGAAACTTGTTTACAATTGGAATTCACAATTTTTTTTCCGACTTTTATAATAACACAATTTTCTTTTATTAATATCTACTTAAAAATTTGATCTTTTGCTAAAGCAAATGGAGCTAGTTATATTAATATACTTGCAATGCTCATTCGCGTGGAAACTAAGAAGAGTTATTTATGGAAGACTGGCTAGCTAAATTTGGAAAGTGTTGGCTAAATGTTTTGAATTCAAGAAGTTGCAGCATCAGTTATTGTTTTGTATTAATTTGCTTCAAAGCTTTTTAGAATACTTCTATTTTTGTTGTCTCGTCCTGGAGATCAATGGAATTCCATCCCCATGTGGGGATTACAACGTCCTTCGAGTATTGGAACATCAGGTTGAATAGATATTGTATTTGGCAAATGTTGTCGAAAAATGATGAAAAAAAGAAAGTACGATTGTTGTGCTGCTAGGCATCTTATCTCAAGAAACATTCATTATCTGTCATATTCAAAGCTAAAAAAAATCTCTAGTCTGGCGAGGGGGTAAAAGGCAAATGCCTTTACAAAAAGTCATTACTTGAAAGAATTCAACTTTATTCAGGTAGAGTATGCATCAAAGATGGACCAAAAACTTAGTGATTGATTCACATGTTCACTCATGGTGGTGGCTCCCTCTTCTCAGAATTCTCTGCTCTCTTCACACTTCTTTGTGAAAAATTTGTGGTCGAATCTTGAAAATGATGAGAGAGAAGTGATGATGGATCAAGAAACGAGGCGTTTTGGAAGGAACCAGGTTGTACTCGTACTAGTTCGACTCTATTGTGTGTGTGTTGTGGGGGTGGGGGTGCTGGAAAGGGTCCTCTTGGATCCTCTTTTTGGTGCAAGACTGCTAAAATTCCCTAGTAGATGGCCTTTTTGTCTAATGCTCTTTTGACTGTAAAAATTATATAAATTAGAAATTTTGTGTGTTTTGACTCTTATTGGTCCTTGCTTTTCTTAATCATATTATAGCAGGAAAAGTGATTGAAGAAAATCAAACCATTTTACCTCATTAATCATCATTATGTACCCAAGACATCAATAGATTAGTATATACTAATGTAAAGATGTTACTAATCCTGCATCACAAGCAAAATTCACTCAAGAATACATCAGCAAACATTGGGCCCAAGTCCCACAAAACCATTTGCTCCATCAAAAGAGATTTGTATACCTTCTTGTTGTATGTTCCCTATTATGGAAAGTCCTGAAGGTGATGGAGCAAATGCAAAACAAAATGTACCCTTTTCATCCACTGGAATTAAGAAGTTCCTAGCCGGAAGAGTTAGGATCGGTCCGCCCGATAAGAAAAATGATACCGTCGGTACTCGAACGGTCAAGAACCCGCTCAAGTCGTAGCATGTGTCAAATATTGAGACACTAGGTGCTCGAGGCAGATTGGCTGTTTCTGCAAGAAACGTGTTGCGAAAAGCCACGTAGGCTATGGTCGGTAGTCTCGTGACAGCAGTCCCCGTGTCCATTACCACCCCTCCGTCACCCAGCTCAGTGAGTCGAAAAACGTCCTCACTTATTGGGATCTGCATGCCACCAACTCCAAGACCAGAAAGCCCAATATAATAAAAACTTGGGGCCCTCGGGTTTCGGAGTAATGGAACCCAAGCAGCACCAATGGGTAATACTGAGCGCCCGAATTCCAATGCCCCGTTTGAGTCCGTGCCTCGACTCACGAGGCAATAACTAAATGCTCCACCAGTTTGCCCACCCAATTGACCCACCAGTGACATGGATCCCCCTCCAAGACCCAGCAACCCGGCAGCTCCAATAAACATGCCCCGATTCATGTGCCCGCACCCAATGGCCACGTTTTGGACCTGAGTGTCTCCAATAGTGAGCGTTTCGAAGGCGAGTGTACCTTTAGTGTAAGAGCCGTCACCATACGAGACCTCGTACTTGCACCACCCCGCATGACAATTCGAATTCTCGACCCGATCACAAACTGAGGAGCTACATGACACCCCAGCAAATGAAGCGGAATCGGCCGGGTCGAATACTGGATCCGACTGATGGTAACACTGGCTACAGGGTTGACATTGGACCCACACAATATCACTGCCAGAATCAATCACCATGTATTGGCTTCTGGCTGGACTTCCAATACCAATCCGCACAAAGTATTCTCCACTACCCTGGTCCATACCCGAAACCACGTCCGACCCAAAATCCTCCACCTCATAACTAGTCTTTCCGCCACTTCCTCCTCCGGCGCCGGTGCCTTCAATTTTCAGGCGGCGAATCAAGCTAGCCACCCTTTTAACGTCCCTTTTCATGCGAGATTCGAAACGGCGGCGATGGTCATTCAACCAGGCAAAAGAAAGCTTATCTCTGTGAACCAAGTGAAGCTTCCATGTCTTACTCTCGTGTTCGTCAGAACTTAGTTCATTGTATTCATATGGGGCTCGAATATTTGTCTCGGCGGCAATGGTTTCTTTAACATTAAAGTGTTCAAAGGCGGGGTGCGGAATTGCATGGCCGGAAGAGGTGGTGGTTTCAGAGGTCCTCCACCCTGCCGCTGAAAGCAAGACAAATGTTGATTGATCCACCAGTTGAGTTGTGCCCGAGAGTCTCGTCCCTTTTTTAATCTTATTTAATCCATGTCACCTATAAAATGCGTACAATAATGGGAAGAGAGTGGATATAAATTTAGTCAAGTATGATATTCGACAACAATTATCAATCTAAATAAACTAATTCATGTAATTAATGTGGTATATCGATCCCTTAATTAAAAGTTGAGATTCTTTTAATTAACTAAAAAAAGAAAAAAAAATGAAACTCTTTGATATTGGAAATATGTAATGATTGATTTTTTTATTTTTACACCCACAACAAGAGTATAGAAAGTTTTTAGTTACTTTATAATTAAAAAAGACACCATTAATCTTTTTATATTTATAGTAACTTTTCGACTTTTGTTTTTTGATAAAGTGCTTTTGCAATTTAGTTATTCTTACCAAAATTACGTGTTCGCATTTTTTGCTGTCTTGTTCAATCCTATCCAATGATGGTTTCTTCAATATTAATGTAAGTACGTGTAGCGTATCCTTACCTGATATTATCCCACTAACTCCAAGAGAGTTTACATTAAAAGCAAAGAGAACCCAACAAAAAAACAAGAACATGAAAGCTATTTCAATTTGCCAAATAATTAAGGATAATTCCTACGTGTTTTGTTGGTTTGAATCTCCATCCCTACACTACGGTGTCACTAAAGACTCTTAAGAATTTAATCGCCCCAAAAAATTATGAACGAATCCAAGTGTACAGACAAACCATTGCCAAAAGCTTTATAGAAATCTCACATAGCGTGGGGTCCCATGTGAATATTTTATTTTAAAAAATAAATCACCCAACCCACCAATGTGTGTTATCTGTAGGAGGTTTGTAAAAATAAAATAAAATTCTGTACATCTAGACCGGTCCAAAAATTATCAATATATGTTACTTTTATTTTTATTTTACTTTACTTTTTGAGGTGGTCTCAACATTTTTAATAACACGGGCTTTATTTTCTTTGGACACATATTTATTGTGAAGAAAAGTCCTATATCGACAAAATTAGACAAGCCTTAGAGTATTACCTATCGATTTATGTATAAAATTTATTGAATAATCGTCAAGTCGAGATAAAAGAGAACAAGAAAAGTACTGCCCAATTCACAGTCAAACAAAAAAATTTACAAATTATGTTGACGTGCTACCAAATCCATTTATGCATGAACCTTACTTTAATTATTGTAGCATCTTCTTTTTCTTTTTTTTCTCCATTGGGAAATTAATGGTTGTGGGGGTTAAAAGCATTCAAGAATTATACAAGACGACGAAGTAGAAGCACTATTGCTTCCTTTCCTTAGCATGCACAATAATTGCACAACGTGCATAGTTCCCTATCTAATGTTGTAAAAAGATCCTATATTTGTTTCTCGTAGAAGAGTTATCTTAAATCAACTTCTTTTAAAAATTATTCTAACAAAGTAAAGTACTTTTAAAAAATTATTCAAATATGTTCATGTGTAGCTTAGTTTTAAAAAGAATTTTTAACTTTTCAAAAGCTTTGCCAAATAGACACTATGATAGCTTGCCATCCTCGGTAATCCTCGACTTCATGATATTTTTTAGATCAATCTCTTTAGTGCACATTAACTCATTGAATCTCGAGTTCTATGGTTTTTTATGTTTAATCTTTATATTCATACAAGTAGAAATTGTACAACATATCGAACAATTTTGAGTCTCGAATTGATGTTTTTTATGTTTATCTCTTTCTCACACGATCAAATTGTATCTTTTATATTCGTTGAATCTTGACTTTATAACTTTTACGATCACTTCTTTCACACATTATTTTGAGATTATGCACAATCGTACCTACTTTTTTGTCGAAGAAAAAGTCCTCTCTCTTTTACTAGCCTCTTCCATTTTCAATTGATGATAAGCTTATTATTTAATTCAGACATTTGCTTTAAGAGAATTAAATTAATCGAGCCATTTTTTTCTTCTCTTCCCCAGTGTACAGATAGCAAAAAAAATCATATTTTTGAGTCCATAATGGCGGCTTAGCTCATTAATTTTGTTCTCATCCTACTAAAATATTATTGAAACTAATTAAATTAGGTTAAATATGTGTATCAAAAAGCTTAATTAGGGGTAACTTAACATCATAGAGATTTAATTTAAAGTTGCAAATAAGAATGGTAGGAACTATCAATTGCATGAAGTGGAAATGTCACCATGAGAAAAAATAATTTGAGTTGGCAGTAGATAAGACATGCACACCTTCCCAATAATTGTGCCATTATTACCACCTAAAAGTTAGACTTATTTAAATAATCTAATTCATATTTTATTCACCATTATATTCTCTCAAATCACACATCTTGAATGGCTCG